TTTTTTTCTGTCCAATTTAGCAGCAGCCTTCATAAAGCAAGAGCAGCCTCTATAAGAAATAGAGACAGCTCTCTCAAAGACTAGAGAAGGCTCTACAAAATTAGAGACGGCTCAGGAAAGTAGAGAAGGCTCTACAAAACTAGAGAAGGCTCCATTTTTCTATTGAGCCATCTCCATTTCAGAAAAAGAGCCTGCTCCATTTTTTTAATGGAGCTGCCTCCATTTGAAATTGAGCAGCCTCCACTTTTGCAAAGAGCCAGCTCCTTTGAGGGTTTTGAATTACAACGGCAATTTTTCTACATTTATTTCCTCTAACCACTTCTAACAGCTATATTGAGCTATGAATTTCTTTATATATACAGAGGGCTTGTCTGAAAAGAATACATGATTTTAAGAGACATCATATCACATTGCAAAGAGAGCTTTTGTTCTCATATCTTCTCCTCATCTCTCTCATTCACTCATATACTACTTGAGAGAGCATTCAAGAACATTCATTCAAGTGCATCAAAGAAAGCTTTTGGCTCTACCATTATACAGAGCCTTTGTTCTGGTTATACTCACTCATAGAGCCTCTATTCAGACATCGATCTTTGTCTCATATACAAGCTTCCATAGTTGAATCAGAGTGAACTTCAGAGAGCATTTAGTGAGCCTTTGCTGAACTTTTGTTCTAGTATTTCATCAGAGCTTTTGTTCTGTATTTTCCTCATCATCTCTCATATATTTCATACTTAGAGTTTGAGCTTCACTTGATTTCATATATACTCTATTGTGAGGTTTGATTTGTATCAGTTCTTGAGAGGATTTCTTGTACTACAAATTCTATCTATAAATCTGCTGTAAGCCTAGGAGGAAGAGTTTCTCTTAGCAAAGAAATTGTAAGGGCTGGTGTGGCCTATGTAAAACTAAGAGAGGTGGTCTCTTAGCAAGGATACTGTAAAGGGTTGGTGTGACCCAAAAGGAAGCCTAGGAGAAGGGTGTTCTGCTAGCAAGAAAGAGAAGCAAGGTCTTGCTTCAATTGAAGGTTTGCTCTCCACCATTAAGGAGAAGCTCTAAGGAATTTGGGAAGTCTCAAGAGGGATCTTGAGCCGAGGAGTAGGAGTTTCCGAACCTCGCAAAAATCGCCGTGTTATTGTTTGCAATTTCTCTTCCCTTATCTCTTTTACAGTTATGCTAAATTGATTACTTTCATATCTTGTTTATTACATAATTGGTTATACTATTGATTAGAAATTGTACTTCTATAATTTGCGAAAATTGGCCATTGACTCTATTCACCCCCCCTCTAGTGTCAATTCTTGGGTAACACTACTCAAGATACATACAGAATATACATGCTTAATCAATGAATCCTAAGTCAATCATAAGGATTTCCTATAGTATGCAATACTACAATTCTAAAAGCATGTATACAATATATATTAAACCCCACAGAATTTTAAAACACTTAAAATATAAACATACTACCACCCCTACTTCAATAGTGAATTGAATCTCTATAATCCAAGCTACCAAGCTCAAAATGGAAAACAAGTTTAGGGTTAATGAAGAGGAGAGTAAGGGGAAACTTCTGTGTTCCAAGGTTTTAAGTCTAGGGTGAATTGAAGGAGGCCAAAAGTGAGGTCAAAGCTCTAAGCCAAGCTTTTCCTTCAATGGTGGCTAGGTTAGGGTTCTTAGAGAACAAGTGCAAATGAAAGGGATAAAGTGAAAATGGTGAGTGGAGGACTACTAGATTATCCACTCACTATGTGTTCTTACACTACCTCTCACACACACATAATGCAAGACTAAATTATGATCCTACACTTGTCAAAAATCAATGGCTCCTTCCTAGGCTTAATCTTAAGCCTACACTTATCAACCATCTAAGCCAACAAGTGCACCTATCCTAGGCTAACATGTGGGTGAATCTCCACCTTCCAAATGTCAATAGATCATGCTCCCAAGTCACTCCACCCCAATGCCAATAAGTGGCTCCATGAGAATGTGACACTTGTTACATTTTTCAAAAATTGTAAAAAGGTCCTTTTTCAAAATATCTTCCAAAATAAATTGTAAAATGATCCCCAAGACAAAAAATAATTACTTTATGGTCCCAAAAATAAAGAATAATTACAAGAAGGTATGCATCCATGCCCTTTATAAAAAAGTAAGCAACTAGAATGTATTTTCTACAAAGGTAAAAATACCACTATCATGGAAATCAAATATCATGAATGCATGCAAATCCAGAATCAAATATGAGCACAAAAAGTGAAGTTATGCAAAGAAAAACAATAAACGGGAAAAAGACGAAATAAGGAAAAGACGAAATAAGGAAAAAAGACGAAAAAAGAAAATCACCGAAAAAGGAAAAGGAGGAAAAAGACCGGGTCATACACATCATGGATGATTCTCTCAGTTTTTGGGTCCTCATTTGATTCGTGTCTCCAAAATCTCAAAAAAGTGCTTCAAAGACGTCGTGAGACTAATCTTGTGTTAAGTTGGAAAAAGAGCCATTTCATGGTTCAAGAAGGAATCGGACTTAGACATGTTATCTCTAAAAGAGGAATAAAAGTAGATAGAGCAAAAGTTAAGCTGATTTGTCTCACCTACTACGGTGAGAGAAATTCGCTTATTTTTAGGACATACCGGTTTTTATCGCCAGTTCATCAAAGACTTTAGCAAAATTGCTAGACCATTGTGCAACCTTTTTGCTAAGGAGACTCCATTTGTCTTTTGCTCCCATCATGTAACCTCCAAATTGGTCCCTACCATTTGAGATTATGTGTGATGCTTCCGACTTCGCAGTGGATGTTGTTTTGGTGCAAAGGGTAGGTAAACTACCATGTGCTATATACTATGTGAGTAAGACTTTCTCGGGTGCCCAATTGAACTATTCTACCACTGAGAAAGAATTACTTGCCGTAGTATATGCCCTTGATAAATTTCGATCATATCTCTTAGGATCCAAGGTAATTGTGTTTTCCGATCATACCGCTCGTAGGCATCTTTTAATGAAAAAGGAAACCAAACCTTGCTTGATAAAATGGATCCTACTTCTTCAAGAATTTTACTTTGAAATCAAGGACAAAAAAGACTCTAACAATGTCGTTGCCGATTATCTATCTAGATTAATGGTTAAATCTTCTCCAAATCTTGAAATTCATGAATCATTTTCGGATGAACAACTCTTTCAAATCTCAAAGGGACATTGCCTTAGTTCACAGACATTGTTAACTATCTTGCAACCGGCAAACTTCCCATTAATTGGTCAAAATAAGAAAATGACCGATTCTTTGCTAACATCCGGAAATACTATTGGGAAGATCCCATTCTATTTCATTATTGCCCATATCAAATCATAAGGAGATGTGTGCTGGAAAGTGAAGTTTCGTGAGTCCTTGTGTTTTGTCACACACTTGCTTGTGGTGGGCATTTTAGTGGAAAAAAAACCGTTTTGAAGGTTCTTCAAAGTGGGTTCTTCTAGCCCACTATCCGCCGAGATGCCTATAACTTTTGCAAGGTGTGTGTTCGGTGCCAAAAGTTGGGATCAATGTCAAAGAGAGACATGATGCCTTTAACTTCAATCTTCGTGGTTGAAATCTTCGATGTATGGGGCATAGATTTTATGGGACCATTCCCAATGTCTTATGGCTTTTAACACATTCTCGTTGCCGTTGATTATGTGTCAAAGTAGGTTGAGGCTTGTGCTACCAAAATAAATGACCACTCTGTGGTAATTGCATTCGTCAAATCAAATATTTTTGCTCGTTTTGGTATGCCAAGGGCCATGGTAAGTGATGGAGGAAAATATTTCTACAATCAATTCTTAAGGAAACTCTTTTTGAAATACTCTGTCACACATAAAATGGCTACTCCCTACCATCCCCAAACAAGTGGGCATGTCGAGGTGTCAAATAGGGAAATCAAGCATATTCTTAAGAAAACTGTCAATTCGACCCGAAAATATTGGTCAAGGAAATTGAATGATGCTTTGTAGGCTTACTGGACAGCTTACAAAACTCCAATAGGCATGTCTCCATATAGACTTGTTTATGGGAAACCTTGTCATCTTCTAGTTGAGCTAGAACACAAAGCATTTTGGGTAATAAAAAGGCTCAACTTTAATCTTGATAAGGCTAGAAAGGACCGTTTGCTCCAACTCAATGAGCTAGAGGAATTGAGAAATGATGCCTATGATAGCTAAAAAATCTACAAGGCATGGATAAAAGCATTTCATTATAAACATATTGTGAAGAAGTCCTTTCAGGCCGGTCAAAAGGCTTGGTTATTCAACTATAGGCTCAAATTCTTCCCTGGAAAGCTTTGAACCAAATGGGAATCATCTCCGTCTCACCTCATGGGGCGGTTGAACTTCAAAATCTAAAGGATGAAGGGACCTTCAAAGTTAATGATCAAAGGCTTAAACCATATATTGATGGACAAGCTCTTCAAACAAATGTGAAATCTACTCACTTGGTAGATACCATTTACTTTGAAGATTGAGAGCATCTCACGTATTTCTAGCGATGTTAAATACTAATTGTATCGAGTTTCTCTTTCGTTGCATGTTAATTTACATTTTATTATTATTTTTATTATTTTATTTTATTTTACTTTATTTTTTTTTCTTTTTCCTTTTGTACATTTATGCATTTTTAAATTCAAAAAGAAAAATATATATATAAATAAATAACTTTTTTTTTTTTTTTTTTTTTTTTTTTTTTTTTTTTTTTGTAATGGGTAGTATAGGTTGGTGTTTGATTTCATTTCAATTATTATTATTATTATTATTATATATTTTATTTTAGTGTATATATATTTCTTTTTAGTTTTGCTTTATTAAATATATATATATATATATATATATATATATAACAAAATAAAAAAATTGTAATGGGTAGTGTAGGTTGGTATTTGATGTTATTTCAATTTATTATTATTTATTTATTATTGTTTTTATATATTTTTTATTTTAGTATATATATATTTCTTTCTAGTTTTGTGTTAAAAAAAAAAAAAATTCCCCACAATGGGAGATCAATCCCATTTAGAGCAACAAAAAAAATACCCTTAGCGGATTGATCCCCTGATAATGTGGATCGATCTTTTTTTTACTTGTGCCTTCACTTTTTCATTACAAAGTAAAGCGGCAATTTTTTTTTTTTTTTTTTTTCTGTCTAAAATTGTCGATCCCTCGCTAAAAGAGATCGAGCGCCCCTTAGCCTTGCCCTCCATTCGCTGCCCTACCTTCAATCAAATTTCCTCTCTTCTCCCTTCGAATTCCTCAAGCAAATTTCCACTCACAATCTCTTCATCCGTTCTTCATCACTCTTCTCCTCCCCACGAATCTCTTCCTGGCATTCACTCCCAATTTCTTCCTGGCATTCACGGTGTAACACGAACCCATAATCTCCCGCTATTCTCTTCTCCTCATCCGCGGTGTCGCAGGCGTTAAATTCCGGCGCCATGATTTCCGGTTCTTCTCTGCCAACGGTTTGAGGTTTGCCTTTTGCTTCGCCTCTTTGGGTTTCGTTTGGGTGCGATTGGGGAAGTAGGGTTGCCGAATTCGGTAAATTTCGGCTGGGTCGCTATTCTCCGACGATTTCGGCTGGGTCTTTCCGGCGATTTTAGCTGGGTCTCTCCAGTGATTTTTCTGGTTCTTCTGGCCGTGCTTGACCGTGACTTGGATGAGTCCAATTTTGATTGGGTTCCCTTCTTCCGCGATTTTGTGGGTCGTCACGAGTTTGTTGATTGTAATTAATTGTTTCGGTGAGTTTGTGAGTTGTCAACTGGGTTCCAGATTCCACTGTCAAAAACCCCAACAATTACATCACTTTCAACCATGGTATTTCGTTTCATGGCATCAGTGGAAGTCCCAAGATCTTGTTGTATAAAGTTGGAAGGCTCTACTAGGGAAAACAGAAACTACTCTGTCCATGTCGGCGAGCATTCTTCGCTTCTCATCGGTTAGTTTGGTTGTGAATCCGTTAAAACTCCTAGAATAGTAGCAGCATCACCATTGAACTCCTTCCATTATTCACTGTTTTGGGATCAGTTTTCTTCTTTATTTGTGTGTTGCTTAAATAACGAATGTGGTTGTTGTTGGATTTGGATTGTGCATTTTGGTTGCACTTATGGGGATTTGTTTTGGACTTGAATTGATGATTACCAAAAGTTGAATTGCTAATTTTTTTTTTTTTTTTTTTTAAAAAAAAAAAAATTCAGTGGCCGAATTGGATGTTGGGTTGTGGTTGTTGTTGGATTTGGATTGTGCATCGGGTGCTTGATTTAGTTAATTGTTTAGAGTTGAATTGGTGGTTTGGGAAGTTTGGTTGTTGAATTTTGTTGGTTGATTTGCAGATTTTGGTTTGTCAGTGCAGTAGAGTTGTTGCACTTGGTTGAATTTGCAGTTCATTACAAAATGGGTGTTTACTACAAAGGGCTGAACTAATTCCCATTTATTTCACTCTCTAAAAAATGACTCGTGTTTCTTTTTCCAAACGTTTCAAACCCTCTAAAGAGACTCCCAAAGCTGCGTGGCGTACTAAACGTTTGGATTTTGAGACTACCTTCGACATTGAATGTACGTTTCACCACAATGCAACGACTGAATAGGCAGTGTTAGAATTTGAAATGAGGCGTTTGTCCTGCCTTTTTAGACCAGCTGTAGAGGTTGCATATTCCCATATTGTGCACCTGTTTTATCATAATATGGAATGGTTTAGTGATGCGCTTGAAATATTAGCTACAACCATTGATGGTGTCCGAATTCACTTTGGTGTCTTGGACATAGCCCAGGCATTGGGGTGTCCACATTTGTGCCCCACTAACTTGCTAGCAAAGAATGGGGAGCTACAGTTTGGCAAGTTCCTAGAAAAACCTACCGCGCATTCTATTGTTAAGGATATGTGTGCCAGGAAGTATGGTGACAAGAAGAAGAAGAATTGTGCCAGCAAGTCCTCACTACCTAAGGCTATGTGGTTTTTCGATCAGGTTCTGAAACGAAAAATTTATCCAATAGGTCATAAGGTACAACAAGGGCAAGAGTTCTTAATAGCGTTGTATGCTACCTGCACTGGAGCATGGTTTTCTGTTCCAGCTCTCATCTTTAATCAGATGCATAAATATTGGAAGCATTTAGTGGTGAGTGGGGATCCGAATGCGAAAAAATGGAAACTCCCATTTTCGTATCTTATTACCCAGCTCCTTATCCTTCGGCGCTTCGTGGTTGATAATGATGAGATCTCTGAGGCTCCACGGGTGACTTTTGGGCTAGCACAGTGGAACTTAAGCCTTTCTCATATGCCTAGTGCCAAGAAGGAAAGTGATGGCATGGCAGCAGGTGATAGAAAGGATGTGGATGCCATGGCTGCAGACGTTGTTGGGAGGTCTGAGGAGCAGATTACTGATGGTGCTAGTTATGAGATAGCATAGGCTGTGTCACTAAATGTAGTGGAGTCTGCGGGGATGACTCAGACAGAGTTCAATGCCATGGTGGTGTAGTTGAGGACCGAGTTGGCTGCCTCTCAGGATCAGCGTCGAGTCGAGCATGTTGAGCTTATACAGCTGCACACCACTACCCATCATATGCTACGGGATCTTCTTGAGATTGTTTCATCGAGTGTCCCATGCTCTTCCGCATTACCGCTTGATGCATGATTTCTTTTGTCTATTTTATGCTATTCAGATTTTTCTATTTAGGGTGGATGGGATTTCATGTGGCTATAGCCAGATTTTTGTAATTTAGAGCTGGCTATTTTGTGAACTTGTATTTCTGGGTTTTAGTGACATATTTTGTTTATATTCATCCATATATGTCTTGTACTGATACTTTTGCTATAAATTTATACACGGATGATTGTTTTTGGCTTTTGTTGCTCATATTCATGTGTTTTATGGATGCTTTCTACACCTATGGGTGTCTACATTTTTTCTATTTTCTTTATTTATTTTAAATTAAAAATAAATTCAAACATATATGTTATCGGTATGCCCTTATGCTTGGTTATGAATGTTTTCATCTTTTATCAAGGGTTTCATCTCATATTTCTTTGCATCGTGTTATATATTATTTTGAACTGTATGCATTGCTTATCCCATGTGATATTTGATGTGAGTTTTCTAGTATGGTTATATAGTTAGGTTTTTGAATCTAAGTTTGAGGGAGACATTTTTCCTACTGGATCATTGCCGGACTTCATTGGCTTTGCCATCACAGTATACTCTTTCCATCATTTTTCATTGTTCTTCTTACACATTGAGGACAATGTACAGGTTAAGTTTGGGGGTAAGGTCATCTTGATTCATTCTATTTTAAGTTGAGCTTTAAATGCATGATGAGATTTGAGATGTGTTTGGCAATGATTTTGAACTTTTGAAGCATAGTGCCTTTGAAAATGAAGTTGTTAGAATCTAATACTTCTTGTATGCTCTAGGATGCCATTTAGGGGTAAATTTTAATTTTTGACATCATGTTTGTTTTTGTGGTACACATCATCTTGTTGGTTGAAAATACTTTGAGAGTTGATTTCAGAATTCTACACTTGCACTTGTGCACACTAGCATTCAATTTGTGGGGTACATGCTTAGTTGATTATTGTTTTGGTTTATCCCAATTAAGCTAGTATGCTTTGAAAGTTTTCATTCTTGATAAAATGATCTTGCAAAGAAAATAAATAAAAGCACTCACCAAAGGTGAGCAAAATCGCTCGCTAAAGGTGAGAAATAGAAATAGAAATAGAAATAGGAACAAAAAAATAAAAATAAAAATAAATAAATAAAAAAACAAGAAAAACATTCACCAAAGGTGAAAAGAAAAAAAAATAATAATAAAAAAATGAAATCAATTAAAAAAGAAATGTTTGATTGAATAACAAGGTTCATTCAATGTCTTAATGTTTGGTACTATATCTATATGCTAGTTTGAGGGTAAGGCTATGCCATTACTTTGATTTGGTAGAATAGCAACACATTTTGATGTCAATTCACTTAAAAAGAATGATAAAATTGATTCAATTTGCATGATTAATTGCTTGATGTGTGGAGGACCATTTTTGCTTACATGATGTTGAAATGTTGAGAATAGCTTAGAAATGGTAGAAATTTGCATACTTGAAATAGTCTACTTTCAACACTTGTTTGATATGTATCGTTACTTCTCAAGTAAGAAAGAGCTGTTAATGTTTGTGCGTACCATTTCTGAAAACCCTCACGTGACTTCACTCGTCAACTAGGGGTAACCTAGGGGTTTAAAAGGTTTGTTACATATGCTAAATGCAACCGTGATCCCTACGAAAGTGGTGTTATCTTTATTTTCTTTCTTAGTTCATAGTTATATATGTTTGTTTCATTTCATATTGTAGTTCATTGCTAGGGACTAGCAATATCTAAATTTGAGGGTGTGATAAGTGCTTAAATGTTACACATTTCAGCACCTAAGTTAGGGTATTTTAGTTCTTGCATCTATCTTATTTTCATGTTTTAGTTCTAATTTATGTTTTTGTCAACTTCAGGTCAATAAGGTTCAAACGAACTAATTTCAGTTCATTAAAGCCTTTTTGGAGACAAGCAAAGACATTCGGAAAAAGTTCAGAAAATGGCAAAAAGAGGTCGCAGCCCATTGGTCGTATAGTGTCTTATCCTTCAAAAACGGTCAATTCTACCTTTTTCGGGCCTTTGATGATGTTCCCAAAGATGAAGAAGCAAATCAATTAGGCCAGAGCCAAAATGGAGCTAAATAAGGTGTAAAAGAAAATTCCAACTCTGGGGGATTGATCCCCCCAGAGTGGGGGATCGATCCCTCACTATTTACAGAACTAAAAATGCCCCTGGGGGATCGATCCCCAAGGCTGGGGGATCGATCCCCTAGCCCCTTGCAGCATTGCGAGATTTATGTTTACTTGGATACAAGATTTTCTTGTTTTGGGCTTATTTTGTAATTTATTGGTTTCCAATAAGGCTTATACTTAAGGAAACCAGTACCTATTAATTGGGGGGGAGTTTTTATTTTTGATTATTAAGTTTTTATTTTTTCTGTTATCGATGTATCGATATCTCTCTTTGGAAAACACGAAAAAGAGGAAAGCTATGGCTCTTGAGAAAAGTTCAGAGAAGAAGAAGAGGAGCCAGATAAATCAAAGGATGGAGCTTGTTAAAATCTTGCATCCATCAACCATGAGCGGCTAATTCTTCAACTTAGGGTTGAATAAACCCTAAGCATGTAACCTAACTTTTCTCTCTTTTACTATTTTAGGGATTTAATTTATGTAATTTTTGTTATAGCCTTGATATATATATATATAATAATTCTTTCAATTGATTATCTTTGTCAATCTCATATTGTTTTATATGTTTTTGAATGATTATTGATCTTTACACTTGATTTCTTTGTGAATTGAATCATGTGATAACTATGCATTGTATTAATTTGATGTAATTGTGTTCTAATTTGATGGAAATTGCTTATATTAGATGGGTTGTACTACACAATTAGGTTAATGTCTAGTTTAAATAGTTTAATTTCAGGTTTGGTTAGTTTAATTTAAGGTAAATTAGTTAATTGCAATTTAATTATTAGGTAAGTAGACAATCCGTACAATTGTTTGAAATCCATACTAATTGTTACAATTACATATCCTCTAGATTAATGTTTGTTAAATTTGTAACTTGGATTGATGAATCATGCTTTGAATTGGTAAATTGCACTACACTAAGTTTAATTGTCATTAGATAGTTGATTCATGCTTGAAATTGATGGTTTACACTTTTCATTGCAATTGTTAGCTACAAATAGATTACATAGTATTATTTCACCAATTAGTTGAAAGTTAGTGAGTTAGGGAATGTGCTTAGTGGTGAATCATACAACCTTAGTCTCTTTCCAATCTCTTAAACTCTACTTCTTTATTGCAATCATTTAGTTTAAAATTAGTTTTCATCACAAACAAAACCCTTTTTAGCAATCACATAAACACTAAAGTAGAATTCAATTCCGAAAACCAATAATTGTTTAGATCTCTTGGGACGATCCCTACTTGCTTCATACTCCATAGTAAAAGTGTTTAGTGGTTTTATAAATTATAAAATATGATGCCCACTTGACATTATTTCTAAACTTAAAGTGATGTGCATTATTTTGTGCACACGCTAGGTCGCATCAATGCATACAACAGCCTCTGCCAAGAATGGCCCCATCCCTATGTCATTTGCACCCACGTGCTCATGACATGACACACCTTCAAAAGAATGAAGGCCACACGGACACACTACACATTAAATCTCAAGCACTGAACATAACCCCGAAGGTGCACACAACCCAAGAAAGAACTCTCTGTCATCACCCAACACATCGAATACTGAGACGCCACAGTCTCTCAATCTAACCCCGTGAAAATTAAGTCATGCTACCACATGACTAAACGCCCAATCATAAAAATAAAAATAAAAAATTGTCCTCAGACGTATCAACTCCAATAATATCAAAGGAAGGCTAAACCTTGCCACGATCACAATTAAAATACTATAGGATCAAAAGGTAACTAAATAACCAAAGGTACAAACAGATACATAACAACAGATCTCAAAAACACGGTCCGATAATCAATCGGATCAATTCCTACAAAACCATCAGAATCATAAATCATTTAGTCTGCACACGACTATTTGTTATCACAACATTGTCAATGAAAAACCTTAATCTCTAAAGATACCACTATATATAAAATAAACCATTCAAATCAAACCATCATAATACTTTACCTCATATTCTCACCACTACTCAATTGAAACCATCACTGAACCTTGACCCAACAATCTATCCGAATGAAATTAATTCAAGAAAAATAGCTAGCCAGGCCATTCTTTCCTTATCAATCCAACCCTAACAGCCATGCTGTCCTTGTCCTCAGGTCGAACTCCAAATATTATTCTCATACGAGAACCTCTATAAAACAAACACCTTGATTACCATTATCAACAAACACCTCAATTATAAGCATCACATGAAAACCTTAATAAGAATCATTATCACAAATCTCTCGATAAGCCTAGAATACAACACTTCCGTCCAATAACAATCACAAATCGAATCTCTCAAAACCATGTTTGGCAACACCAAGCTGGAACAAAATTCCTCTAAGTTCATTTCTATCATTATCAATCTTTATCATCAATCCATAAAACAACAACTGGGATCATGATTCCTTAACCCAAATCTAGCCACAGCTAGAACAAAAGACTCCACAGACAACAATGTATAAATGTGATCCTCCAAAACACTTCTAAGAATCAAACATATCCAAGACTCCAACTCGAAATGAGTCTCCAAAAGACACCCTTAAAGGAATATCAAGCTCACTTAATGAATAAAACAAATCCTAAATGATATCGACACAAGTCCCCGTAAAATGACCTCATATCAAACCACTCACACCGAGTACAACAACCTCACTGGCAACCAGAGCCTAAACTCCCCAAAGGAAAACATGAAATGAAACCATCTCTGAAACGAGGGATACTAAGGTCAAAGAATTCACTCTCTATATGTAAGTAAGTCAACCAAAATCAATTAAATCCTCACCAAGGACTCGAGAAAATAATGGTGATCCTCACAGATCAACCAACCCACAACTATGCACAATGCAATGAAGGAAAAAGACTCACTCCTTATGAAATTCCTAACATGAACCAAGAAAAAAGGAGAAACCTTACTTTCCCATAAGTGTCAACAAGACAAGCACGAAAAATGGAGCATTCTTTCCACCTTAGGGAAGTGGATAGCTCATGACAAAACAAAATGTGACAACTCCTTCACAAGGATTTCTACAATACAACTAATGCAAAATCAGTAAAGACACTATGTACAAACAAAATGAACAAAACACTAGCTCATGCTCTCCCAAGATGAACAAAAGAAAAGTCCCGCGTAAACACCATTTGTCATGCGTAAATGAAACAATCGCAACACTAAACATGGCTATCAATGCATATAATCAAGGGAATGCACTGCTATAAAGATAAATCTGCTCACGTAAGTAAAAGTAATGATACATGTAACACGTCTCCATGTAGGCACAAAATCATGTCACTAAAACACAACAACAACATGGCATCTCTAAGTATATAAGTAAGAAATGCTAATGCCAAACAATAAGAAGATACATGTGGATACACCTCCACCTACTCAGACATCATGATATCACAAATAAGACTACTAACATGGTAGTAAACAAAACTGCAGAAAATGATGCAACAATGAACCCTGAGAAAATCGTGTCCTAATGTGTCGAAGAAAAATGGATAATCAGTCCAAACCATTACATAACTCTAAAAACCACCTATCAACAACATGTCTTAAAACAAACGTGAGTCCTTACCACAATGGTAAGACCCAAACAATAAATCTCTAAACCTCAAGGTGACACTACAAGTGACACTAATAATGCAATGCTCTCACCACCTGAGACATCCATCAATTGACTCGATCCCAAAAGCGTCTTCACACAAGAAGAACTTAAAAGAAATGGCAACAATAATCATACCGTCAAACAACCAAATCCATCACCGTCCCAACATTGGATGCTCAAAACGAAATTTAAGAGATCATACACCTCTAACAATCCTCAAAACTCATATCATCATCATCATCGATCAAAAATACAACGCCTATCAAAACAAAAACCAACACTAATTCCATCCAAATGGCAACGTAGCTAGCCAGTACGGTAGCATGACAGTGCATGCACCCGCCCACAAACGTACTTGCCCACAAAAATCGCAATTTCAGAAGAATCAATCCAAACAAACAAAAAAGCCTGAGAGGTCTATAACATCATCATGGCCCAAAACCAACAAATACCTCCTAACACCAAGAGTCCAAAACCATTAATCCACAAAGCACTACGGCAAGGAAAAAAAAAAAAACTCATCTCACAAAAGCCTAAACAAAAGGTGTCTCTCCATCTATCTCAAAACCAATACTAGGTCAACACAACCTACACTATCATGAAACTGTGACAACAATCACTACTATTCCTCAAAGAAAAGTGCCAAAGCAACAAACAACACTTATGCCATCATGGTAAGTGCCTAACTTACCACGCACCAAAACCTCGACTCAAAACTTCTATGACCAATCCCATGTCATGACAAATGCGTAACAACAGTTATGCTTAAACAAATCTAATATATCATACATCATATGTCATGCTCCTTACATTAAAATCAAATCACGTTAGATAAATAACATACACACATAGCACATTTAATTAGTAACTAATATGCTCTTTTACAAAATACACCTAACAATGCATGAAGACCAAAAATTGAGAAGGTCATGTGCCTCTCTCACACCCATTAATCCGTCTAAGTCAAAGACAAATGAGCACCAAGAAATTCGACTAAGTCATTAATCAAATTCAAGTGCTTACGATCCAATCCACCCCACCAATGAATGCATAGATAAAACCCATATGGCAAATATACGAGCACTTAAGCACGTAAACGTGTGAACACATCAAAACATATCAACAAGAAGTATGAAATGAACCCAAACCCGTCGTCCTAAGGTTTTTCAACCTTAAGCTCTAATAGCATTTGTGATGGCCCAAGTTTTACAAAACCCGATGCGTCAGCGAGTGACTTGAAAAACTGATCTGAAAATGGATCCTAAACGCGGAAGCAACGAAAATAAATTGGTCACTAAGGATTGATACCAACCTTAAGACCTAAAGTGGGCTACAACAAAGCCACGGAACTCAAGAAAGAAACAAAAAAACAGAAACAAAGGTCAAAACAAGCAAAATTCGTTAATTAAGGGTAAAATGGTCATTTCATACAAAAATAGAAATTTAACTCTAAGCAATTCAAATTAGGTCCATGCAACCTAAACTAATCATGTCAAAACATTCCAAGAGGTTCTAAAAACTTTGGCTAAGAATCCCACAAAACGCCCATTTTCGGTTTAAGTAAAATCAGACATTGTCCCGCAAAAACATAAATACTTCCCACTGTGATTTG